GTCATCTGCAAACTTACTGAGGGTGCACTCGATCCTCTCATCCAAATCATTGATAATGATATTGAACAGAACTGGCCCCAATACCGAGCCCTGGGGAACACCACTTGTGACTGGCCACCAACTGGATTTATCTCCATTCACCACCACTCTTTGGGCCCAACCATCCACCCAGGTTTTTACTCAGCAGAGAGTACGCCTGTACAAGCCATGAGTAGCCAGTGAAGTAGCGTTTATATTGCAATCAAATGTGTTCAGCAGCAAAGAAACTGTAGATAATTTTTTATTGTACCTGGAACCCTGGGAAAGAGAAGGTAGCACTGCTCATCTGCTGTTTTTCCGGGGCTGTGGGGGGGATGTATTTTCCAAATTCCTTGTTTATGCTGGCAGAGGGAACTTCTTTCCAGTGCTTGACCCTTAAGTCAGTGATGGTGCTGAAATTGTTATGTACCTTAGATAAGTCTTCACCTCCTCGAGTACTGATACCTTCTGTATCTTTCATGCACAACTTTGAATTTCTGCTTTCTTGGGAGATCAAATACCTTGTTCATTTTGTTCCCTTAAGGAGTCTAAAAGGTGAAATTTTAAAAATTTATTCATCAGGATTTAAGGTCAGTTGAAAGGGCTGGAACAACTTGCAGGAGAAATAGTCTAGAGTTTATATTTAACACCTAAAGTCCTTTCAACCTGTTAGCTTCTCATGTGGGAATCTTGAGACACAGGACATGGCTGTGTGTCCTGGACTCCCAGATCCCTCTTTTAGATGCTCCTTTCAGTTTGGAGCTTAAAACTAGCCTGAGTGTTCATGGTCCACAGCCTTTGTGTGAGGCCATTCCGCTCTGCTGTCTGACTAGTTTGTCTGTCCTTTTTGAGCCTCTTTAGTATAAATGTGGCTTCGGGCAGTTTTTGCAATACAAGTAGAATTTCAGCAGCAGCATAACTCTTGTCACAGTCTTGGGGAGTTAAGCTTTGAAACCAGTGTGCATGCCTGGGACTGAGTCATGTGGGTTCATGAAGCAACTTCTTGATTACACACGTGATACACGTTTAATCAATCTGCGACTTGATTACTTTGTCCAGTCTGAAGTGGAAATATGTCATACCACATTGTAACACAGCTGTGTTACTGGCTTATTTCAGAAACCATTGTTGAACCTTTATTAACACAGATAAGATACAAAATACCAAGATATTTTAATCTAGACTTGTATACAAGAGGGGCTTGTCTTTCCACCCCATGCACTGGTTTCTCTATCACAGATAGTCATTATTGAATTTCTGGCTTTGATGAAGTAGCCAGAATGTGACTTCAGTTGCATGCTCCTTATACTGCTCAAAGCATATGGCTGAAAGAACACGGGATTTTTTAAATCACATAGAGACATTGTTTGTGCTAAGTTACACAGACAGTAGGACTGCAGCTCTTTCACATCTCTGCCTAATCTTTGGACTTCTTTGCTGGACTTAAAACAACATGTCACTTACTTCGCACTGTTCCTAATATAAAAGCATGTTTTGTTTTGTTGGGTTTTTTAATTTCCTGTAGAATTGTCTAGTTAATCATGAAGTCACACTTTTAAATGGCTTTTTTTAATACCTGCTTTCAGTAAAAAAAAAAAAGCTTTATTGATGATTCACATTGGAAGATTTTTAAGATTAGCTCTTCTTTTGCATGTGTTGCTTTGATTAATAGCTGTAGCAGTCTGACTCATTTGCATCACTGGAGTCCAGGAATATTTTCTTATGTAAGTCATTCTGTAGCTCCAGTTTTCATTTGGATGACAATATTGCATCAAATAGGTGTATAAAATTACCATCAGTCCAAGCTTTTTTTGTCTGTTATCTATACCTTAGGGCCATGTTCATTAGTCTTTAACATACAGCGATGCTAAGTTGGTGTGAGAGGGAGAGAGTGCTCTTGGAGGTTTCCCTGATTTTGTAGGTTTTTGGGATATGTGGAAGGAGGGGACAGAGTTTAATAGACTACATCTACATAGCTGTTATTTCTTCTGTTCATTAAAATTGCAAAATCAAGTACTTAAAATTAAGAAATTACCATGCAACCTCTGTTTTGTCTCCATTTTATCAAAAACTTTGAAACGGTTTAAGAGTTTTGGGAAAAAATAAAAGGTGTTGCTGAGGAATGTTTATTATGAGTATTGGGGAAAAAAACAACTTCATATTGATGACCCATGCAAGCATGAAACATTAGAATCACTTAACAGATTTTTCAACCGTGAGCTGAGCTAAGGAAAGGAGAATGTGGGGTTCCCTGTCCGCTGGCAGGGAGGACTCTGCGGGGAGCAGGCATCTCCCCTTCTCCTCCTCCAAACCAGCCTTCTTTTGTTTCTTTGCTGCCAAGAGGGTGGTGGCTTCTCCAGGTGCTGAAGGTTGAAAGGATTTCACTGTGTATCTCAGGGATGGAGAGGGCTTGTGCCACACTGGCATGATGTCTTCCTTCAACTGACTGTGAAAACAGGCACCAAGTGCCATAGTACTACTAATGAGAATTACTAACAAAGCTGCAGTATGTGTAACCTTTTGTCTTATATGACTGATCTTTAATCTCATTTGTACTTCGACAATATGTTGGTCACTATGTACCTATTAAGTGAAACAGTTGTTGCAGAATAAAAGTATTTGATCACCATCTTTTTATGTAATTCAAAGAGTCAGTCAAGAAATCTTTCTATGCTTATGTCAGTGCTACGTCATTGCATCCTAATAGATATGACAGAATAACTGTTTTCAGCCTAAAGTCTTGTGAAAAGAGAGGACATCCTACATACTTAATTCCTTTGAAATACTGTTATGTAGCTGAACTTATGACTTCTGGTCACTGAAAAGTAAATTAAAAGTTGTAATTGTGTGTTCAGCCTAAATTACCTTTCCTACGAACCAAGTCACTAAGTATGATTAAACAAGTTGCCCAAAACACAGGGGAAATGCTGTGTAGTACAACTTTTTTTGGTGACTACTGTATGAATATTTAAAAGTAACCAGCCCTGGGCGAATAGTAAACAGATAACAATTGAACAAGCAGAAGAAACAAAACGTTTGTTTCAAATTATCTTGAATTCCAAGGGATACTTTTTTTTGAATATTTTTCATGAAATAAAGCTACTTGTTTGGGGTCAAATTATTTAGGCTACTAAAACATGAATTCTTTCAGGCAGCTTTAATAAAAGCAGGGTGCTAGATTCACAACTGCTGCTCAGTACTAAAGACTTTGAGGAAGGCTATGTTCATGACTTACCTTCAGCAATTTCAGACCTAGGATTTGATCACAGCTTTCTGCTCAAAGTGGTGTAGTCTGTCCACATTTTGAAGCTGTTCCCTGTCTAAAATCTTAATCTCATTGGATGAGGGTGAGAATAACTATCCTGATGGTTGAGGTATTCCTTAGTTAATACAGGCATATAACATAGTATATTAACACTGTAAACCTGATCTTTGCAAATCATCTGGCTGTCTTAGCTTTGTGAGTTGACTGTACCCAATGACATTATGCTTCTTACAGAATGGGAGTAAGACAATGATTTTGCACCAAAAATATATTTGTTGGCTGCTGAGCAACTTTTAAAATAAGTGGGGCCTGGGCATGGGGCAGGGGGGACGGGACACAGGGAGGGCACTGTGCGATTTCATAGAAAAGGTTTGTGGAAAAAAGCCACTGAGTAACAAACTGTGAGATGAGATACATACAACTTACTGTGTGGAAAACAGGAACACAAATGTCTCTTCTTTTTTTTTTTTTTTTCTTTTTTTTTTTTTTTTTTAAGAATTCACTTAATCTTGAAAGGAAGAAAACAGCATCGGTGGTTGACATTACCACAGCCTTGTTGCAGATAAAATAACTGGAGAGAGCCTATACGGAAAATGTTGTCTTGCCATTATTTTATGCTCAGCTCCAGTACAATATTTGTATTGTTATTTGCCTACCATGCCAGAATTCCTTGATTAAGTGGAGTAACTCTGGTGCATTTTTGGATAGTACACATGCAAGTCTAAAAATACCAGTGATACTCAAGCCTCATGCCAGTTTCATTTCCAGAATGTTATTTTCACTTTAAAAAACAAGAACAAAGAAACCACCTTTCTTTCTGTTTCCTCTTCAGTCAATACCCAAACTCACCTTCCCAGGTGGATTATTAATTGGTTGCAGTCCTGGACTCATGAACGTTCCTAAGATCAAAGGGACACACACCGCGATGAAAAGCGGCATGTTGGCTTCGGAAGCCATCTTTAGCCAATTAATCAATGAAAATCTCCAATCAAAGACAATAGGTAAGATCACTGATTTTTAATTACCTTGTGTTCAAATTAGAATCACCAGCAGTTTAGCAGTAGCTAAACGTGTCTGAAGGAATTAGTTGGAAATGCAGACAAATCAAGAAATGTGTGGTGGTTTAAAAAGATATCTATTGTTTATTTACTACTTATACTGTCAAATGATTTAAGAAAGAAAGAAATCCGTAAAATTTTGCTTAGTTATTCTTAAGTATTGATCCTACTGCTAGAACAAAATTGTGCCTCTGACAAGCATCTGAAAAGTAAGCTTACGCTTTCTATATAAGTAAACAAGAACAGTATATATTTCGTTCCTACAAATATGATTCTTTATAATTCAGAAAGTGTTACTGAAAGACTGCAGAATTAGAGAGAAAAAAATTAAAGGAACAGATTAAATGTAAGCAAAATAGGGTGAGATTTTTTTCAAGTTTGCTCTTTACTGTTAATTGTTAGGATACTTTTTTCCTCCAGTCCTTTTTTTCTGTCTTTAATTTTATAGTCGTCTCAGTTTGAGACTACATGTATTTCCTTTTATATGTAATGCAAGCACACTGAAGTAATCACCTGATCGTGACCACATTGTAGCGATTTATTTAAGCCTTGGTTGTTCCTTAAATATGTTAACAAAGACTATACAGAGAGAGAACCCAACTAGAATTTCAGTCGTTTTGGAGATGGACACTATAGCCAGGTGCCACATGATTCTGATTTTAGAAATCTCTTCTCTGTAGTGGTGGATTCAGTTTTAGCAAGCTCTCGTTCAGGTGACACGTGCAATACACGCTGCCACAGAGGGTATACTGAACAATTAAACCTTTAACTACTGTAACAGGTTAAAATGCTTACAACCCATCTGAAATAATAAACACTCTTATTGTTTGATTATGGACAGGTTTTATATGCTGTTTCCAGTTTTGTCAAGACAATGGAATATTACAGGCTGCTTTCTTCTCTGTGGATAGATAATGAGCTTTTTTGCGGAGCCTTACGTGAGACAGAAAATACGGACTGAAGCATGTTTTCATGTATAGACAAGGCTTAAAACTTATTTTACAACATCTATTCCTATACAGTAGTAATGGAGAATGGAGAAGCTCTCAGAAAATTTTCATTTGATGAAACACCTTTTTTTTCTAAGATAATTACTTGACTTTAACCACACTGCAGTAGATGTGTCATGTGTCAAGTGTGCAGTGTATAGACTTGCATTTAAATCAAAGTTTCAATCAAAAGTGTGTAGTCAAATGTATGCTGTGGACTTGCTGCTTACAAAGGGAGAAAAAATGTTCTCTAAACCTGGCATCATCCATTGGGCCATAGTCGTAGTTACTGATACCAGAATGTCTGTGGTTATGTAACTTGTGAAGAAAAAACTTTTTAACTTGACAACATTAAAACTACAAACCTGGCTCTTAAATCACGGGTAGGCTCTCCTGGTCAATTCTCAAACTCTATGAGCGAGTAGCTGTTTTGCCATAGAGGTGCATATATAGCCACCTGGCTAGTTTTCTTTATATTTTGCTGAGGTTTGAGGCAATTTAATGCTGCTTGTGGGTCATTTATTAGAGGCTATGAAGGAACAGCAGATATCTGCTGATAACTGCCAACAAAACGGATCTCTTCAAGAGGCTGAAATATGTTGTCTTAATATATACCTAGCTTACTATTCCAAAATTCTTATTTTGCTGCCTTCTTTACTAACAATTGCCTTTATTCAGCAATTATTTTTTATTTCAAGGATAGTCTTTATGTACTGTAGGTCCCTAATGAGTAATGTACTGCCTTAGGACTTGATGTGCAAGAATACGAAGAGAATCTGAAAAAGTCCTGGGTCTGGAAAGAGCTGTATGCGGTTAGAAATATCCGACCATCCTGCCATAGCATACTTGGTGTGTATGGAGGAATGATTTACACAGGTATATTTTATTGGCTACTGAGAGGAATGGAACCATGGACACTAAAACATCCAGGTAATTTCATTATCTCCTGAAAGAACTAAATTTATATGTCAGTCTTTTGTGGTCTTACTTGAAGCTAGAGCACATCTGGTCAAGTGGTGAGGCCTTGGTAAGGCATTGAAGCAGACTTTGTCCTATTACCTAGCACATAATGTAAATGAAGACATTAACGCACCGTTTGACTTAGTATAGTTTTTTGTCTCATTGAAAAGGCTACCTTTTATGAAATACTTCATTCTGATGACAAGGGAAGTTAAAATAGCTTAATTACATTCTTCTTGAGTAACTGCAAATTACAGTAATTCTATACTGAAACTTGGTTTTTAAAAATATATTTAGGACCAGATTTTGCTCAGCTCAAGCCAGCCAAAGATTGCACGCCTATTGAATACCCAAAGCCTGATGGAAAAATCAGTTTTGATCTCCTCTCATCTGTGGCTTTAAGTGGTACAAACCATGAACATGACCAGCCCGCTCATTTAACTCTCAAAGATGACAGCATCCCTGTGAACAGGAATCTGGCTGTATTTGATGGACCGGAACAAAGATTTTGTCCAGCAGGTAGGTAATAAAAACATGTGTCTGAGTTAGTTTTGCAAGATGAAAGACCAAGTACTTCAGGAATAGTCCACCTGACCTACTACTTACTTCAAGCATTCTATCGAAATCCTCCTCCTAGAAGAGGGTTCAAGTGCAGGCCTTAAAATACATTAACAGTACTTTCATGATGAAATAATGAACAAACATGGAAGAAGGCAGTTGCATCACACTAGTAGTATTCTCCCCTCATTATGCTTGCCAGTAAGTAGTAGAGCGTATACGTGCAGGGGGAAACTGTTCAGCGAAGTGATAGCTCTCTTTTGCTTTTCGCAGGAGTTTATGAATATATTCCTCTGGAAACAGGAGAAGGATCGAGACTGCAGATAAATGCTCAGAACTGTGTCCACTGCAAAACATGTGATATTAAAGACCCGAGTCAGAACATTAACTGGGTAGTGCCTGAAGGTGGAGGAGGACCAGCTTATAATGGGATGTAAACTGGCAGGGTAATCTCTTCAGTGACTTCTGATCACCAACAAATAAGTTGGAGTATTTTATGCTGCAGTGTAATTAAAGTACAGCACTGACTTGAATGTTAAAGGAGTTTGAGACTAATGTGCCATTCTGAATTTTAGGTATGACCGTTGCATTAAATGGAAAGTTGGTGCCTTCTGGTTAAACCCTAGCCTTATTTAAATAGGACTTCTTTACAGGAGTTCTGTGGCAGGAAGAAGAAAGTTCTTCTTGGGACTGACAGAGGAACTCTGGAACTTGGATTTATCGCCCAAGTTCAGTGATAACAGGAGCCATATCCAAAATTGTGGGTATGGTGGAAGAATTTAGTACCTATCCTTAAAAAGTAGTATTTTTTCCTCTCTATCTGGAGTGACTTACTTTATGTAATCCTACCTTGCAGTAGGAAAAATACATCAGTCTAGAAAAATTGTCGCTGCTTTTAAGTGTTACACATTTTTACATCGAATTTACAGTTAGATTTTTTTTTTTCTGATGGTAGTAAAGAGCCCATCTGCAATACAACCTGTAAAGCAGTGTAAAAAAACCCAAGTGGAATACTCGCACCTTCATTGTATGTCTACCAGCATTTTTATTCCTCACAAGAAATCAGGCCTGCTCTAATAAAAACCTCTGACAAACTCCCTAAATTGTCTTGGTGTGAAACCAAGCTTCTTAGGAAGCACTAACTATTAAGCTGCAAAAACAAAACCACTACTGATTTACAGACTAGAAACACACCTGAGTCACAAAAGCCAAGTTATTACAGTTTAAGAAAAGAAAACCTCTTCACTTTTGAACACTTTATTGTTAGACTTTTGAGTTGTAAACACTGAAAACTGTGGTACAGGGCCAATGAAAGAAGCAGCTCCATTTATCCTTTTGCATGAGTTAGTGCATAGATTTAAAAGTTTAGAAAAAAAAATCAAGCAAACATTTTTGCATAAGCTGCCTTCTCTTTCTCCTTTTGGGCTTTTATCTTCTGCTTGATTCTGAGTGTTTCCGTCTGGATAGCTGTTTAAAAAGAAAACCCATGATACAGTTATAGTAATCTCTTTACATTAGGTCTCCTAATATGTCAAGACCAGGTCACACTGCTGCAACTTACCCATGTTATTTCATTTATTGCAACTGCATTTAATATTCTATTAGGTCAGACAATAGCAGCAAAAAAAACCCCCTTGTCCCTTATTTTGTTTCACCTGGTAAGGTAACCAGGTGGAGGAGCCTGTACTAAGCATTGTATTGGTGCCAACACAGAATTTATGAGCTAAAAATCTTATCCAATAGCCCAGGAAATTAAGAAAGTTACTAAGACCCCTGGGAGAGAGGGAGATGGTTCAAGAGGCATGCTGTTGACCTACATAAGCAGGTTTCCCAGTGCAACAGAAGCATCACTGCTGTATAAAAACAGGTTTTCTATCTCAGTGGGCTCTGGACTCAATATATCAGCATTCAAGCTGTTAGAAGCCAGATTTTAGGCATCACACTGGTACGATTTCTTACTAAATAAGTATTTATTCTGGTTACTTTGTTACATTCTTTAAAAAAAAAAATAAAGAAACAGCTTTATTTTACCTTTGTCTTCAGGGGCTATTTCATGAGCCTTTTTGAGATCAGCCTTAAATAAAAGATAAATATAAGTTAATGTTCTGATGAAATGTTTAGATTTTTAAAAAAAATATTAAATATTGTGATCATTACCAATGCCTGATCGAGATCTTTTATTCCCTGCCATCCTTGAGCCCGTCTGTAGAGAGCTTTAGTATTTGCTGGATCTATTTTAAGAGCCTGTAAATTTAATAAAATCATCACATTAACATTTCACATACTTCACAGCCTCCCATCTCTGCAAATGGCACAGTTCACACCCGCAGACAATCTCCCCAGTTGGTTTGAGCGTAAGCTGTCAAAACATTAAGTGTGTAAAAAGGAATGCTATAATGTAGCACACCAAATAGCTAGCTAATCAGTTTTAATACCGCTGCACTAGAAGCGGTCTTTTGTGAAGGATGAACATACGTGCAGGTAAAATGGAACTACTGTGTGTGTAGAGATACGTACATATAAATATATATAGCTGTCAAGGCAAAGGTATTGCTGCAGTTCAGATTATCCTAACCTCGATTCTCACATACAACTCTATATTGCAGCTCCTTTAGTCGCACCAAAAAAACCCCTCAAATGGCGTCAAATAAAACACGCAGATTTCCTGGAAAGCTTTTTTCACTGTAGGCTAGAAAGAGACACAAGCAATCCAGCTTGTGCTTCAGGAACCTCGCCAAGTTCCAGTCCTTACGCCTTTCTTGAGCTGAATGGTTTCACTAATGTGTATATGCCAGCTCTAATATGACAATATCAAAATAGGAAATACAGTGGCTGGGCAAAGAGATTGTTCCACTATTTGATTACTTAAATTATTTTTTCAAAATACCTCAGTTAATTTGGCTAGCGAGCTGTTTTGTTTTCTTGCCTGTGAAAATCACGTTCTTTTTTTCTTATCGCAGATAGTTCTATAGTGTGTCTTTTTAATACAGTTTCTCAGTGATTAGAGGAAATCTTTTTGCATGAATGTGTGGCTTTTTAATTTCATTTATTAACTTTAAATCGTTAATTAAGATTTATGGACATTAGATGATTCATCTAGATTTTTTTAAACCGCTTTGGTATTGGCTGTTAACATAAAGGAAGTATTACTCCAGGTGCTCCTCCTGATCTGTCTGCTATAAAACTTAGAGCCTCTTCCCTGTCAAGAATTAGAAAATTAGGTGTGTGTATTGTGTACACATAGGTAGCATTCCTTTTTATCTTGACCATTGTGCTTACAGCTATTTTAAAGCAAGGTTTGTTTGAACAGGTTCAGCCGTTCGTAGTTCCTTATTTACACCAAGTAATGCATGTATTGCAGATTGGTAATTTACATCGCTTTTGGCCTTAGGAAATCATAAAAGTGAAAGCGTATAGTTTCTCATAAACAATTACCTTGAACTCTACTGGTTAATCTTAGGAAACTGGTGTTCTGATTAAAATGCTGATACGCTGTTTAACATTTGTTATGAGACTTAAGCTAAATACCTTACAGAAGTATATTACAGCTATCGAGTTGCCTTTAGCTAACGATTCTGTAATCTTCAAAAAAAAAAAAAAGGAAGTGTTTAGGTTGTTGGTTTTTTTTTTTCCACCATGGCAAGTATTGTGAATAATTTCTATCTGTAACACTTAAAACGCTGTTTCAATTTTTACCATTTTCTAGATGACAGATATCACGTTATACAGTTGTCATATTTTTTTCCTTTCCTCGTTCCCTATTTGTCCATTCTGAATACAGGTTTATGAAAGTTTTTCATGTGGTAACACCATCAGCAGGCTAGAAAGCAAGCCAGCTCTCTAAAGACCCCTCAGGCACAGATTAACCGAGACTCCTGCTTTCAGCATGAAGCCCTAGGAGATGCTGCTCAGGATCCTCTGCTAACAGATAAGAGCATTCTTTACTCTGTTTCCTTCAAAATTTCAGAGTTTTACTGAATTATTTGAAGTTTCCTCAAGTGTACTAAATTCTGTCAGTATGTCTATGTCACTGTTCCTTTTTTTTTCTTAAATACGGAAATATTGAAAAATAATAGAATTGTTTCCTTTCTTTCTTCCTATTCACTGGTTTCATTTCACCACTAAGCCAACCTGAAAGGGCTTTAGTTAGAAAAGTCACTTCAATGAATAAAATGCAAGACCATCAAATCTAAAAGCAAGTAAAACGTTTTGCTCGTACTAGTCTTCCAGAGAAAAGTATTCCTCTCGCATTGAAGACAGTTTAACTCTTTGTAATATAAAAATTAGCTCCGCAAACCGAACTGACAGTGTGCAATTTTTATGGTGGTAAGCAACAGCCCTCTTTTGTTTGTTTCTAATGAGTCATTTCAATTTCAGAATCTTTTAAAAAAAGCAATATACTGGAAAGTTAGTAATAACTTCACAATTAGCCTTCTACTTTGTTTACTTTCAAATCATAATCTTGTCAGAAGATCCTTTAAAAAAGCTTTGGAGTTTCAATCTCCATTTTCTATACAGGCCAATTGTTAATCAAAATAATAAACATTAAATTTACCTCTGAACAACTTTCAATAGCTCCCTGCCAATCCGACAGTTTTAGTTTACAAGCGCCAATGTTTAAAACACAGGTCAAAGCAACGGTCTTTAGCTTCGGTTTGTCTGCCTCCTCTGCCACTGCTTCAGAAGCTTCTACATACCTGCAGAAAAACAAATTTACAGAGTACATGTATTAGTGTTGCAACTTCCATTTTGTTCTGCCCTTAGCAATCTTTCCACAGATATGTGCCAACTGGCCTATCCAAACTGGTATTTTTAAAGCAGCTTCAATTCCACTATTACAAATACTTATTAAACTAAATATATAAGACCTACTCTGACAAAAAAGATGAACTCACTGGTGAATGTTTTCCTGTAACTCCTAGTCCTCTGCTGTACTAACAGCATTCATTTTCTTAGACAAATGCACTATTCTAGATGGTGTGAAACCGTTAGAATTTCTCTCAAGGAGTATTTATACTCAAAAAACACGTTGCTCATGAGTGGCAAAAAGTCAACACCACCACTGCATCTTTCCCATTCGTGGGAAGCTTCATCTCTTCTTCAGTTGCCTCAGTAATATTTTAATTAGTTTAGGCATTTATGGCTAAAATCTGAAGTTAACTTCACCTTCTTTTCACTGTCTTCCTTCATGACTTTTTTCCTGAACTTCAAAACTGACATTGGTTCAGGACTAAGCCACATCATTTACTGCATCTCTGTTTCATAGGCAAACTGACAGGCAAGCTGTATCTCCTTCTTAGTTTGCAACGTGCTAATACTGTCAGTGTTTTATTTCAAGTGGCAAAGGTCTGTTATGGATATAAAAAATAATTTTTATTTCAAAAATAAAAATCATCTGTTTGCATACATTCACATTTTAAGTATGCCATGATTAATGTAGTCTTTGCAGATCAGTGCCTATGTAAGTTCAATATTTGCATGCCCTGTCTTTTGAATGTTGCCTGGTTTGTATACAACTTTGGACCACAGAAATAAGCAATACTTTAAAAGTAAATTAGACATAGTCTCAGTGATTTTTCCACTTGCTGGGCATCATAGAAAAGATGAGAAGCAGAAGAGAGAGAAAAGGGTAAAAAAGCTAAGGAGAGTTATAATACAAATCTGTGTTATGTTCAAAACAAACAGAATACACCTATCATATTTATAAATTATAGCAAAACATGAAAGACTGCAACCATTCTGGAAATAAAATTAGTGCTTCCAAGTCAAAGAAATCAGTAAGATGAATATCAAGGGAGA